ATAGCCCACCTGAGACCCCCACACAGCCACCTTGGAGCCCACCTGAGAGTCCACATGGCACAACTGAGAGTCCAAATGGCACAACTGAGAGTCCGCATTGCCCACCTGAGAGTCTGCACACCCCACCTGAGAGCCCACACAGCCACCTTGGAGCCCACATAGCCCACCTGGGAGCCCACACAGCCACCTTGGAGCCCACATAGCCCACCTGAGAGGCCCCACACAGCCACCTGGGAGCCCACACACAGCCACCTAGGAGCCCACACAGCCACCTTTGGAGCCCACCTGAGAGTCTGAATGGCCCACCTGAGAGTCTGCATACCCCACCTGAGAGCCCACACAGCCAATCTGAGAGCCCGAACAAGCCACCCTGGAGACATTAGGGCGCCACCCCGGAACAACACGGAGTATGTAGCTTAATTTAATTTTGTATTGCTGCATAATGTGTTGCTGGGATTTGTAGTCCTCTATACCCGGTGTTCCTACTCCCTCCCCTGGCGGCCTCTCAGAAAATGGCTGTGTGCAGCGCTAGAGTGTTGGGGTTTTACTTGAAGAAAAGGTGGCAACCCCCACCAACAGGAGCCCCCCCCCCCAAGGGGCTTAGATGAGGATGCCAAATGTGAGATCTCTCTCTCCCGGATCTGCCAGCATGACGACTCCCCCGAGGATGAGGAGAGGCATGACGGGGGGATGCAGAAGGCGAGGTTCCGGTCCCTGAGCTGTCATTGGTCGGCTCCTGAAGCCTGCGATCTGCACTTCAATAGCTTATTTGGAGTGTAAAGGTGACACTGCGGGGTCTTTTGAACCCCCAGCATCACTTTAAAGAGTACCTGTCGCTGCCAATATGCTGTCACATGGGGGGCTTGTAAGCCCCTCCCCTATGTGATAGCAATTAAAGTAAAGTAAAAAAGAAAGAAAATAACAGTTTTTGAAATTAACATTACGTATGAAAGCGACGAACGCGTTACACATGTTGGGTTTTGCCGCGCACGCCGGGGTGAGAGCAATAATTCCGGGGCCAGTATTTTGGGGTATCTCTAAATTGATGACCTGTGGGGGGGCTTTTAAAGCGTCGTCTATAGACTTTTTGGGGTACTGAAGTTTGTCGCCGTTTCACGGACGCACGCAGTTTTTTAACCAGGGCACGTCGGGTATCTATTCACTCGTCGTCACCTCGTCTTTTATATCTTATTTAACAAATGGGTATTGTATTGTGTTTTGGGGCATTTAAGTGCATTTTTCACTAAATTTGGGGGTTTGATGAGGAGTTGCGCTAATATCGTGCAACATAAAAATTTGCGACTGCCGCCATTTTATTCTTCAGGGTCTCGGCTTTCAGAGAATATATCATGTTTGGGGGGTTTGAAGTCATTTTCAGGTCTAAAATGTGGAATATAACACGGGTGCAAAAAATGATAAAAAAAGGCCTCAGTCATGAAGGGGTTAGGAGAAGAGTCCTATCACTGTGGAAACCAGAACTTCCGGTTTCCGGGCGGAAGTGATGTCACACGTCACCGGCCGCCATCTTGGAAACTGGCAGGCACCCACTAGGCATAGACACGGACGGAGAAGAAGCTGGCTCCACGGCAGGTACACCGGAAATCTGACTGACCTCACGCTGGGGGGGACCTGGAGGGGGAACTTCCGGTGCAACACAGAAATAGGCAGACAGGAGGAGGGTAATTGTGCCTCACCATGAGGGGGGGTAAATGTGCTGCATGATTCACCTGGGGCAGAACTGTTCCTTCTAGGGGAGGGGTAAGTGCCCATACCTCGTCTGGGGGGAGGGGGTAACGCTGCCACACACACCTGGGAATGTGCTTTGGGGGCCTCTGATAGTAACATATTACAGAAGACCTCCATCACCTTCTATGTATCTCTAAGTATACTCTGTGTGTCTGGAAGGGCGGAGCTGGAGGACAGTTGTGGGCGGGCACAGTGTGTCAGGAGGTGCCCCAACCTTAGAAATGGGAGGATCATGTCTGCCCCAGAGCTCCGCCCACACCTGAGATAATATTGATGTCTGTGTCTTTTCCATAATGTAGGATAGAAGAGCCCGGCCTGACATCCTTGGGCTCTGCCCCTGAGAATCACTTCCAGGCACCGCCCCCGAGCATCCCTCTGAACCTGTCACTTCCAGGCTCCGCCCCTGAGCATCACTCTGCACCTGTCACTTCCAGGCTCCGCCCCTGAGCATCGCTCTGGACCTGTCACTTCCAGGCACCGCCCCTGAGCATCACTCCAGATCTGTCGCCTCTTGCACCGCCCCCGAGAATTGCTACAGTGGGGAGTAGTGGGAGCACCGAGGGTCACCTGATGTGTCCCATCCATTACATCGCCAGGTAAGTTCCAGAATCTACACCTTAAAAGGACAACTCCACCTGAAGTGACCTTTAAAGAGAACCTGTCCCCAGGTAAAAGGCCAGAAATTTTACCATTAGGGGGCCCCTAAAGCCTTTCATCACACACAGCCTTAATCATAGAGGTGGAGCATCCTACAGGAAGGAAGGTCTATATCATAGAGGTGGAGCGTCCTACAGGAAGGAAGGTCTATATCATAGAGGTGGAGCGTCCTACAGGAAGGAAGGTCTATATCATAGAGGTGGAGCGTCCTACAGGAAGGAAGGTCTATATCATAGAGGTGGAGCGTCCTACAGGAAGGAAGGTCTATATCATAGAGGTGGAGCGTCCTACAGGAAGGAAGGTCTATATCATAGAGGTGGAGCGTCCTACAGGAAGGAAGGTCTATATCATAGAGGTGGAGCGTCCTACAGGAAGGAAGGTCTATATCATAGAGGTGGAGCGTCCTACAGGAAGGAAGGTCTATATCATAGAGGTGGAGCGTCCTACAGGAAGGAAGGTCTATATCATAGAGGTGGAGCGTCCTACAGGAAGGAAGGTCTATATCATAGAGGTGGAGCGTCCTACAGGAAGGAAGGTCTATATCATAGAGGTGGAGCGTCCTACAGGAAGGAAGGTCTATATCATAGAGGTGGAGCGTCCTACAGGAAGGAAGGTCTATATCATAGAGGTGGAGCGTCCTACAGGAAGGAAGGTCTATATCATAGAGGTGGAGCGTCCTACAGGAAGGAAGGTCTATATCATAGAGGTGGAGCGTCCTACAGGAAGGAAGGTCTATATCATAGAGGTGGAGCGTCCTACAGGAAGGAAGGTCTATATCATAGAGGTGGAGCGTCCTACAGGAAGGAAGGTCTATATCATAGAGGTGGAGCGTCCTACAGGAAGGAAGGTCTATATCATAGAGGTGGAGCGTCCTACAGGAAGGAAGGTCTATATCATAGAGGTGGAGCGTCCTACAGGAAGGAAGGTCTATATCATAGAGGTGGAGCGTCCTACAGGAAGGAAGGTCTATATCATAGAGGTGGAGCGTCCTACAGGAAGGAAGGTCTATATCATAGAGGTGGAGCGTCCTACAGGAAGGAAGGTCTATATCATAGAGGTGGAGCGTCCTACAGGAAGGAAGGTCTATATCATAGAGGTGGAGCGTCCTACAGGAAGGAAGGTCTATATCATAGAGGTGGAGCGTCCTACAGGAAGGAAGGTCTATATCATAGAGGTGGAGCGTCCTACAGGAAGGAAGGTCTATATCATAGAGGTGGAGCGTCCTACAGGAAGGAAGGTCTATATCATAGAGGTGGAGCGTCCTACAGGAAGGAAGGTCTATATCATAGAGGTGGAGCGTCCTACAGGAAGGAAGGTCTATATCATAGAGGTGGAGCGTCCTACAGGAAGGAAGGTCTATATCATAGAGGTGGAGCGTCCTACAGGAAGGAAGGTCTATATCATAGAGGTGGAGCGTCCTACAGGAAGGAAGGTCTATATCATAGAGGTGGAGCGTCCTACAGGAAGGAAGGTCTATATCATAGAGGTGGAGAGTCCTACAGGAAGGAAGTCTATATCATAGAGGTGGAGAGTCCTACAGGAAGGAAGTCTATATGATAGAGGTGGAGAGTCCTACAGGAAGGAAGTCTATATCATAGAGGTGGAGCATCCTACAGGAAGGAAGGTCTATATCATAGAAGTGGAGCATCCTACAGGAAGGCGGGTCTATATCATAGAGGTGGAGCGTCCTACAGGAAGGAAGGTCTATATGATAGAGGTGGAGAGTCCTACAGGAAGGAAGGTCTATATCATAGAGGTGGAGAGTCCTACAGGAAGGAAGGTCTATATTATGGAGGTGGAGCATCTGACAGGAAGGAAGGTCTATATTATAGAGGTGGAGAGTCCTACAGGAAGGAGGTCTATATCATAGAGGTGGAGAGTCCTACAAGAAGGAAGGTCTATATCATAGAGGTGGAGAGTCCTACAGGAAGGAAGGTCTATATCATAGAGGTGGAGAGTCTTACAGGAAGGAAGTCTATATCATAGAGGTGGAGAGTCGTACAGGAAGGAAGGTCTATATCATAGAGGTGGAGCCTAGCCACCGAGTACAGACTGTTCATGAGAATAAATGAAGCCATGGTCTCCACCAGGAAGAGGACCTGGCTAGGACGTAAGGGTTTGAAGGCTGTGCAGCACTGGGCAGGGCCATCAAGTGGGATGATGAAGGTAAGGATGGTTGGAGGCTTACTTTAAGGTCAGCTCACTGTGAAGTTATCCTTGAACCTGACTTTCCCTTGTCATGTTATGCTGCTCCTCCATGCAGTGTTTGTTGGTTTCAGTTCTCTTTCCTTCTTTCCAGCAGGTCAGCGAGAAGCCACCAATGATCCAGAAGGTGTTACCTCCGAATTCCTTCATGTGTTATAAAGGAGACATTTGTCAATACTCCCCACCGCAGCACAATCCGAGATGAGCAGCATTGTGAGATCCTTGTTGAGAGAGCCACGAAATACTACGGCGATGGGAGAGACCCGGACTGAGGCAACGGACATGGAGGAGACCAGGACTGAGACCACAGACATAGAGGAGACCAGGACTGAGACAACGGACATGGAGGAGACCCAGACTGAGACAACGGACATAGAGGAGACCAGGACTGAGACAGTGGTCATGAAGGAGACCAGGACTGAGACAACAGACATGGAGGAGACCAGGACTGAGACAACAGACATGGAGGAGACCCAGACTGGAACAACGGACATGGAGGAGACCAGGACTGAGACAACAGACGTGGAGGATACCGGGACTGAGAAAACGGACATGGAGGATACCGGGACTGAGACAACGGACATGGAGGATACCAGGAATGAGACAACGGACATGGAGGAGACCAGGACTGAGACAACGGACATGAAGGAACCCCACTTATTTCACGAAGACTACATCCCAGCACCTGACTTTTCTACAACCACCAAACAAGAACTTACATCCTGTCATATTAAGGAGGAACCTCAATCAGGACAAAATCTCTCAGACACCAACCACTCCCCCCTTGCAAATCATCAAGGGGACATGTTATCTTGTATTAAGGACGAGCCCTTGTATGAAGGAGAAGACCTCCCCCAAGCTCAAACATCTCAGATGAAGGTGACACCCATCTCAGGTGACCCGGACAGTTGTTCCTCCGTGGTTGATGAACCATCTGTTGAGATAAAGCAAGAGCTGCCCACATGTGGAGAGGGAAATCTCCAGAGCGGTGATGTCTCTGACCCCCCAGCTCATGTACAATGTCTCCCTACAAAGATAAAGGAAGAACCCCAATCACCTGATGGAGAAAATTCCACCAACGCGGACATCTCCACACCTGACCACACACAGCGTCTGTCTATACAGATTAAAGAGGAGGAGGAGGAAGAGGACTTCCCTCATGGGATTCACATACTTGAAGGGACCATCACGGACTCGGACATCCACTCCTTCACCATCACCGGAGAGTACATCGAAGGCATCGAGTTCAAGTTGAAGAGCAAACCCGCGCAGGACAAAGCCGCCTCCACCTCTCAGCCGTCATCAAAGACCACCTACGCCTGTCCCGTGTGCAAAAGGAGTTTCAGCAACCACGGCAATCTGGTGCGGCACCGCGAAACGCACAAAGGGAAGAAGATGTCGTGCTCGGAGTGCGGAGCCGACTTCTGCAACAAGACGGACCTGACGGTGCATGCCCGGGTCCACAAAGCCAACAGGGTCCTCTACTGCGCCGAGTGCAACATCCCCTTTCCGAGCCACTCACACCTCGTCATCCACGAGAGAATCCACACGGGGGAGAAGCCATTCGCCTGCCTGCACTGCGGGAAGCGCTTCTCCAGCAAGTCCAACGTCACCAAGCACACGAAGGTCCACACCGGCGCCAAACAGTTCTGCTGCTCAGCGTGCGGCAAATCTTACGCCCGCCAAGAGAACCTGCTGAGCCACCAGCGGGTCCACCAGGAGGCGGTGACGTTTACCTGCGCTCACTGCGGCCGCTCTTTCGTCGACAAACACAAGTTCGCCAGGCACCAGCGCTTCCACACCTTGGACAAACCATACCCGTGCGTCCTCTGCGGCAAGCAGTTCGCTCACAAGGCGCTGCTCCTCCGGCACGAGCGCACTCACGTCGGCGGGAACCCCGTCTGCTCCGACTGCGGCAAGTGTTTCTTTCGGCAAGCCGAACTGACCAAACATAAGAGAGCCCACGCGGGGGCGGCCCAGAAGGTTTTCGAGTGCTCCGAGTGCAGGAAGCGGTTCAGCTCGGGGCCTCGCCTCCTGAACCACCAGAAGCTGCACACGGAGGACAAGGCCTACGAGTGTTCCGAGTGCGGCAACTGCTTCAAACAGAAGAACAACCTGGTGAGGCACCGGAGGGTTCACGAGGTGGAGAAGCCCTTCTGGTGTGCCGAGTGCGAGAGAGGGTTCACCACCAGGTCCAACCTGAAGGTCCACCGTAGGGTTCACATCATGCGGAGGCAGCACCCCTGTCCGCACTGCGGCAAAGAGTTCCCCTTTAAGAGCAGGTTGAACGAACATTTAAAGAGCCACGAGGAGAATAAAGCCGACGGCGGGGACAGTTAGTCATCTCGGAGGACGAAAGCAAGACTCGGACGTGGAGGCCGTCTTGCCTGGACTGTGGTACCGTCAAGTGTAAGGTCCACGTAGCTTGTAGACCCCTCGTAGGAGAATGAAAAGTACACCCCAACTTCTTACCGGGACACTGGGAGGAGCCTGCCGCTGGACAGCCAATAAGAAGTGTCCACGTCATGCAGGCAGTGACATGGACACCCGGAAGAAGGCCCCCCTCCCCTGGGAAGTAAACACAAGAGAAGACTTGGGACTGGAATGTCATGTGACCACGGCTTTAGTTGAGTCAAAAGGGCATTTGTATTTTTTTAATTGCCAGCAGTCAGAGG